CCTAACCCCAATATTTACATGTAAAGATAGCCTCGTTTAGCGCTGTTTCGCATTACGCTCTACTTTGATGGAACGTATCCCCCGCGTTAAGCGGGGTCTTACTGTATGTCAAAATATGAAATAATTTCAAGCAAACTTCCTGCTTTAAAAAAGTTCAGATGATTGTGATACCTTTATTGGCACTATCTGATTATTTGAACCTCCCACGAAAAGTTTCCAAATTGGTAATCTTACGAATTGGCAAATTATACTTTTATAAATAGTAAGGAAGAAACATTTTATAAGAGGAAACTAATGAAAAAAAATTCAAATTAAATAAAAAAACTCCATGGCTAATATTAATATTTTTAGAGCCGGTAGGCACTGTTTAGTTAAAAGTGCGTAAATACACATGTGCATGCCATTACGCGTGTACTAAAACATATGTATGGTACGTGCGTGCGGAGTTGGCTATTGTCGTGTGTATACCGTGGATGTAAGAAGAAAACTAACTCTACTACTTCTTAATTTCATGTTGTGTACTCGAAATATACCAAAACAGAGCTGCTCTACCGAATTTTAAAATCGGTGAGCAATAATCAGAAAGTACCTATTTATTTTAGTTTACTAATTTTAAAGCATGTATTTTACATTATATATATCAGGAAATATTATATATCAGGCATAATGTTTGCAACATTTAATATTTGACTTAAAATGGGGGAACCCAAAATATCATTAATAATTGTCAAAAAGTTATGGATAATTTATCAATATTTTTTATGGATAATTTTCCGAAGTTGTTGATAATTACTTATGAACGTTATTCCGTTTTCTTTTTAAAAAATGGTGGTTACTACTGTAATTTATCTCTCGAACCTCAGAAAAAATTGATTAAGACTTCCACAATGGGGAAAAAAGGGAAACTGTAATTGCATTTAACGGCCGTTGCCAACAGGGAACTCAGACTACTCTCTTAGACCGTCGGACCATTCTAACCACCGATCACTACGCTGCTCAGTTTTGCACCAACAACATATCCCACCCACCAACAGAACATATGGTCACTCCAAACGCTAACACAATACCTTACAAAACCACTCACAAGCAACACTCCTCTTGTCAAACCATCGGAGGTCTATGACTACATCCAAAAACTCAAGATCAAAAAGAGCTCAGGATTGGACAAGATCTCCAACAAAATGATAAAGAACACGGCCATCCTCATGCTGCTGAAGTTAGTTGCTGTTATCAATGCCATGCTTCGCCTGAGGCATTTCCCTAACCCATGGAAAACTGCCGTAATTACGCCAATCCTCAAACCTGGAAAGCCGTCTTCCGAGCCAATATCATACAAGCACATAAGCCTACTCTCCTCTCTGAGTAAAGTAGCTGAATACGTATTTCTGCAGAGAATTCTGGAATTTACAGACCATCACAAGATCATTATACCAGAGCAGTATGGGTTCCGGAAGAAACACTCTACTGTACATCAGTTGTACCGGGTTACGGAGATGATCTCATCAGGATTCCAGGAGCGTGAGATTACTGATGCCATATTTCTAGATGTAGCCAAAGCCTTCAACCGTGTCTGGCTTGAGAGCCTCACGTACAAACTCATCATTCTGGGTTTCCCAGAATACAGTACATCCATCACACATTCCTATCTTAAGGAAAGACTATCGTTCGTGTGAACAACTGACTCTCCACACCGCGATTCATCAAGGCTGGCGTCCCGGAAGGAAGCCTCCTTGAACCCGTATACTATAATATCTACACGAACGATATCCCACAAACACCATACACCATACTGGCTATGTACGCCAACGACACGGCAATTCTATCCAAAAACGCATCTCATGACTCAGTTATTGAAACGTTACAAAACCACGCCCACGCACTTGAGTCCTTGCTGACAGCCTGGAAGGTGAAGATAAACATGGAGAAATCAGAGGCAGTCCTTTTCCACAAGAAAAGAAACGCGGACGAAACTACATGTATCCATATATCCGAAACTCCAATCCAAGTGGGCTAGGCAGGCCCAATACCTAGGTGTTATACACTCATGTCCATAAATTAAGGATAGTTCGAAGCCACGCGGAAATCGAACTCTAAAATAAATATATCACCTGTAAAATCACTACACACATCTTCAAGAATCATATGCAAATTTCAGGAAGTAACCAGATTGCACCGATGGTACGTCACAATAACGAGAGTGTAAGAGAGTGATATATAAAGAATACAAGCAAAGAAGTAAAACTGTTCGCAGGCGCTTTATAAGCATTTCAGTGCAATAACCGAATAGTTATGACACAAAGGACGCATTTGGATAATTTTTTACGTGGTAGAATTATCGGCCGTCTGGAATGTGGGCGTACCCAACTGGAAGTATCAGACGAACTTGGAATTGCCCAGAGTGTCATCTCCAGGCTTTGGCAACGATTCCAAGATGATGGTAATGTGAGTAGATGTTACACCACAGGTCGCCCCAGAGTTACAACGCCGAATGAGGACCGGTATTTGGCAGTTACTGCCAAACGAAACAGGCGGAGCACAGCCTCAGACCTGTCTCGCAGCTCTCTTCAGCCTCTGGTACGACAATTTCATTGGCAGACCGTGTACGGACGCTTAGGGCAGATTGGTCTATACGCTCGTAGACCTGTCAGATGCGTTCCACTTACTGCAACTCACTGTCGCTTGCGGTTAGCCTGGAGTAGAGAGCATGCATTGTGGACACTGCAACAGTGGGCTTGTGTGATGTTTTCCGACGAGTCAGGTTTAGCTTGCAGTCTGATTCTCGCCGGACTTTCATATGGAGAGCTCCAGGTACCCGTTACCACCAAGAAAACATCACTGAACGATACCGTTACGGTGGTGCAGGAGTGCTCGTTTGGGTTGGAATTATTCTGGGTTCCAGAACTGAGCTGCATGTTCAAATTGGAACCATGACAAGCCAAATCTATCGGGACGTCATTCTGGAACAACATGTATGTTTGTTTCGGGGCACCATGGGCGCACAATTTGTGTTTATGGATGACAACGCCCGTCCTCACCGTGCAAACATCGTAAGCGAATGCCTTCAATCGGAGATTATCACCCGTATGGACTGGCCAGCATTCTCACCGGACTAGAATCCAGTAGAGCACGTGTGGAACATGCTTGGCCGACGAGTTGCAATCCGTCAACCTCCTACATGTCTACCGGAACTTCCGAGAGCATTGCCTTTTGAGTGGTGTAATATCCCCCAAGATCAGATTGATAATTTGATACTCAGCATGCCTAGGCGTTGTACGGACTGTATTGCATCGTCTGGGAGACATACATTGTATTAACAATCATACCAACCATATAATATTGTTTTTTTTTTTTTTTTTTTTTTGTAAATAGGGTTTTTTTTTTTTTTTTTTTTTTTTTTTTGTAATTTGCTCCAGGGAGAAAAAATCGCTAATTTTTGTAATAATATCAAACATATAGCATCTTTTTTTGCTCTTTATCTTTTGTTTAATAAATAAGCTTTACAAATAAGTCAAATTTGTTTTGCTTCTAACTCTTCCTTCGCCTGATTTTGCATTATTCTTAATTTATGGACATGAGTATATTTTAGACAGTTCACTCACATAGTCCCCACACATAACACAAATTGTTGCTAAGTTCAGTGTCTGTAAACGAACACTTACCCCCTTAATTGATCGGAACTCCGTTCTATCTATTGACAACAAATTACTCATTTTCAAGACCCTTTTGCATCCCATTTTGACATACGGCTTCCCTGTTTGGGTATACGCCTGCAAAACTAATCTTATGAAGCTTCAAGTTCTTCAAAATATTGTACTCAGGCAAGGGGTGAACTGTCGTTGGTTCATTCGAAACTCGGCAATTCACCGCGAGCTTGAAGTTCCTGAGATCCACTGCTATATAGCAAAACTTGCAGAGAACATTTTTAATAAGATCCCAGAATTTTGTAACAGCACCATTCCGGTGCTCTCTTATAACTATGAATCTGAAGCTAACCGCGAAAGACAGATATCTCAACAACTAACTTTGCTTATGTATACTAGTTTATGTAATCTAGTTCATGTTACCTATGCCCTTCTATGACACTTCATTATTCTATGTATACCATCCCTCTACGAATTGTCTTTTCCCAGGAGCCCTTGCTGCATGTATATATTTTTATTTGTAAATATTATGTATGTCATGTAATACCAATTTATTTTTGAAATTATGATCGTATGTATCGCACGTCTCTCATGAAGCTATTAGGACTCTCACATACTAGAGCAATATTAGGCATTTCTTTTAATACCTTTTCATAATAATTGCATAGGCACAACGGTTTGTTACTAGCGCACTTACCTTCGCCTCCGGCCTGCTGCCGCGGAACTCATCCACATTGGTCTACCGCATTTAATGACTTTCGTATCCCGTTGGACTTCTGTGTTATTTTTTATTCCAAGTGTTCGTACAACTCAAGGACTCGAAAATCGACTATCATTACGCCGGGTTAGCGATCATACGTGGGCACCCTTCGCTGCGAACTTTTCGAGTTTGCCTGAGCCGACCATTCTAACCGGTTTGATACGGGCTACATTTATTGGATTCTACTCTGGATCCGTTAAAGATATCCCCCATAGCATGTGTGCGGGATGTGATTGCTAATGTTGGTGTTTAGTTATGGATATGTACGAAATCTTCAGGCAGTCAATGACATACCACAGACAACATTCCAAGATCTGTAATAGTCAGTACCACATTTTGAGTGATCAGTTCTAAATGATAAAAGAGGAAAATTAATAACAAATGATAAAGGTAGTACTAAATTTAGGGTATTCTATTAATTTGTAGCTTTGGTGTTTGAATCATTCATATGTGTTTTGCTCAATAAAAGTCTATGTTGTAAGTCGTCTTTTCCCTCACATCCACTCTCAGCAGTGCTATATTTACACTAAATTGCAACAAATTTTTAAAGCTGTGCGTTTTAGAGAAGAAACGTTTTATCCTTTTGTTTGTTTTAACAGGTACTGGCTGTGATTTTGTTTTTTATAGCCGGCTACTTTATCGGCGCTGCAAAATACCAGAGTCACGGTGAAGTTAAAAGCATTCGACTGATGGCGCAGGAAGAAGGTAAGAAAGCTATTATTTACATATAAAAATCTTGTAATTTTATAAGGTTCCTTCCTAGAATTTACAGCTGTGTGAAACCTTGAGAACTGGTAAGCGAATAACCGCTTTGGCTCAGAGAATAGAAACACAAGAAGGGTTAATTATTCTTTATTGCTCAAAATAAAGTTTACAAGTGGCCCTCTCTCAGGACGTACAGAACAGCCTCCACTTGGGTTTTAACTCAAGAATACTAAGAACTAAAACCTAACTAATGCTTAACTAAAACGATATAGTCGAAACTGTCAAAATTCTACAGGAGTTGACCCCATTAAACGCTAACTAAACGGCGGAGCTATCAAGGGCCTAAAATACGGCCGAGCGTAGTAATAGCTTAGAGAGAGTGTAACTAAAAGGCGAACGCGGGCTAGTCAGAATCTCTGGCTCTCTAACGAAATCAGTGGAACTTCGACTTCATTTGCATTTTGCTCTTCCTTCATTTCATTCATATTGCATTTAACCATGATTCTGAAAACACATTCTGGTAGGAAATTGTAAGCTGAAATTAGGAGCGACAGGAAAGTGGCTTTAACTAAAAATAACTCTTAAAAACTTAGGATAAACCTTACAATTTTAATCTTTCTCCAGAAATTTACTTTGTATTGATATTTGATTGTGTACAATGTGTATGTTCTCTGTTTTGATCTTTTTCTAATATTCTGACTTATATGGTATAAATGAGATCGGATTATACAGATAATAAATTTAATTGACAGTTCCTCATAGAAAATTACCTGGAATATTTTTTTTTTTTTTTTTTCGTTTGACAAAAGGATGTCACATTTCGGAAATACGTTCACTGAAAAATTTCATTAAATCACTCTTGGTGGCGCAATTTCTTGATGGAGAGTGATGCGGATGGCCGAACACATACCTGTAAGAAGATGTAACTCACAGAATATCCAACTGTATGTCACTGTCTGTACAGGATGGTGACTTCGGATTCAAAGATCAAACCGCCTGATAATCTATATTTTGGATAATGACTAGTATAGTCTTTGCTGCTCTCTCTTTGATGCTAAGTCCTGAACACTGTACTCATGTATTTTTTTAACATCTTGGTATCAGCTAACCGGAATTAGATTTTAGTGTTCAATGTGCCGAATTTCACTTCGGCCAGTAGGGGTGGGGGGAGGTCGGCCGAAATACTTTGAGTCAGATATATGAAACCCTTTCATGTATTAGTTGAATCTTCTTTTTAAAAATCTCCAAATAATATTCAAAGTCGAACCTTCTAAAATACAGATCCAGATTTTCGTTCCTGTTTGCAGAGTTCCGTTGTCACTTTGTAGTTTGTCAATATTTCTTGTAATGAATTTCAAATGACTGAATAAGTGAAGAGTTCTGAGCAAATTCAAACTTTTTTTGAAATATTTCTAGTTTGTAGTTGAAACCTTTATAGATGTTTTAGTTTTATTTTATAGATATTTCATTTTTATAAATTAGATTTATATTATTTTAATTTAATGTTAAAACGATGTTTTGTCGATTTTTCGTGCATAGCTTCGCTTAAGAATGGGCTAAAAATCTTAGACTTTTACTACTCCCACCATCAGATCGAGCAGAAAAAAAATCTTTTAAATGAAATTTTTACCGATTTTTAACGCAATTTACTGATTTTTGGTAATATTTGGAAAAACTACTCAATTCGTTTTCGATCATTTTACATATGTTATTTTAAAATTCTCTCATCCAAAATATGCAGCTGTTATAAATAACATTTTGAAATTTTCACAGATTATAAAATAAACTCTCATTCTCTTTTAAAATAAGAATGATAAGAAAATGTGAATTACGCAATTTTCTAGAAATTTTTTTAAAAATATGCTGCAATATGACTTTAAGTAGAAGCAAAAATTTCCTATCTTCTTTAAATATCATGTGATTTTCCTTAAAAATTCGATTTTGAAGATATGATGTCATTAAATGTTAGGCTGTTTTCTCTTTTCCATATAGATTTCTCTAATATCAGTTTTATTAACTAATTATTATTTTTTTTCCTTGCTAGGAAGAATTATTTACAAAGAAATTAGTTTTACTAAAGAAATCTGCAGTTTTATAAATGCTGTTTTATTTCTGTTGCCTTCCGAGGAGGGGGAGAGGGTTATACTTAATATTCATTTATTTTATAAATCCCATTTTTCCTTTCCGATAAGGGGACTCATACACCTTAAAACCCATAAGATGTTCGAATAGGTGACTGTCGCAAGAATTGGGATAACTTATTTATTTTAAAAGCAATTACTACCAACCTTTTACAGCTGACTACATAATATAGCTGCTTTCTGAAATAGTAATCAGAAAGCTTGTGTTGCCACAAATATTTTTATAATTTAATCCGCTTTGTGACAACATTTTTCATCATGTTTCCAACTTGCGCGCACAGTTTAAAACATTCTGTTTCATAATTTAATTCCATATTTAATATATAGCTTTTATAACATTTGAAAACTACTGTGAACCTAAAATTCTAAAAATTTCATGTTAAATTTTTATTTTATTTGGAGTTGAGTTTATAAAATGTATTTTATTAAAAAAATTTGTAATGTTTCCGTCCATAAAATTTTTCAATACTAAAATATTCATCAGATTGTTGGTTCAGTTAGAAAATGGTGCCTATATAAAGAATTCCATCAAATTTCAAGTATGAACCATTAGCCATTTTTAAAATATCATGTGCGCAAGATGGAAACATGGCTAAATATTCTGCCACAAAGAGGATTAAATTACAAAAATATTTGTGGCAACACAAACTTTCTGGTTACTAGTTTCCAAAGCAGCTATATTATGTAGTCAGCTGTAAAAAGTTGGAAGTAATTGCTTTTAAAATAAATAAAATATCTCAATTCCTGCAACAGTCACGTATTCGAAGATCATGAGGGGGTTTAAGGTGTATGAGTCCCCTTAAATAATAAAAGAAAGTGTTCAAAAATTTTAAATTATTTGCAATGATATCTGCCGTGTCATTCATACTTTTTCACTTCCTAAGTTTATATAATTTTTTCAGTATTTAATTTTAGAAATTGGTTTTCTTCAATCTTTTTATTATTCATATTATTATTATTATTATTATTAGAGTTATAAAATTCCTTCACCCAAAAATTTATATTTGACGCTTATAAAATCTTTGCGAGTTATCATATAAAACAAACCCTTCCCGCCCTTTAAAAACAATAAGGATTAAAAAATAATTATGCGATTATCTGATTTTTTTTTTTTTTTTTTTTTTTTAAACTAGTCACTTGCTAGCCGTCGGTCTGGCATGCCTATCAGCAGACCGAAAGCGGGTGGTATAATGTAAATTAACCCGAAACTTTACTCTAAAATGTTATTTATACTTGATAAACAGGATTCTGAAATTGCCATCCACACAAGGACATTTTCTTGATCAATCATCAGAATGTTAGAGACCACAATGTCTCGTTTATACTCTTGCGCGCGCATGTGTTCGAGTGTCGAAGGCAACCAGCATCTATCTTTCAACAAATTGCCAAGGGTTGAAATACTATGTGCTTTTAATACTTGAAACTCGCCACTCTTGCGCGCGCATGTGTTCGAGTGTCGAAGGCATCCAGCATCTATCTTTCAACAAATTGCCAAGGGTTGAAATACTATGTGCTTTCTAATACTTGAAACTCGCCAAAACCTCTTTTCAAGATAAAAATGATTATTCTCGCAACCCCACCTTTTTTCTTCCTGGATTTTAGTGCCTCTCTTTCCCTCGCCTGAAATCTAAATGTTTTGGAATTTTTCAATGTAATGTAATTTTTGTTTTTCACTAATATGATCCGGAAAACTTTTTTTTCCTGTAATAATTTTTATTGTACTGAAATAAAAGCAAACTCATCGAGTTTATTTAAATGCATTTCACAAATGCTTAGTGTTATCCATCTCTATACTAATGCGGCAAACATGCAGACAATAACTCGTTTCTTCTAATTCTAAAAAATTCTGCCATACCTAACTTGTGCTGCTTAGTGTTCCTTTAAATTCTAAAATTTTCGCCGCAACGGCAGCACCTGGTGTGGCACCGGTTCTGTATGTGTATTTTTCTATTTGACCTAAATAATAAGTAAAGCCCAAATGTTGCCATGTCTGCATGTCATCTTACTTGATTAAAATTGATGATCTAAAATGCGGAATCGCCGAATTCACACGAATTTACATTGATTCCAGATCTCGAACTTTTTATTGTAGTAAATATGATGGCATTTTCTTAAGAATAACGTAGAAACTAAATTGTGGTGAGCCTTCTAAAGGAAAATGGCTCTGTATTCATATTACATATGGAGAAAACCACAGTTCTATTCAGCCAGCTTGTTCGCCGGGAACCAAACCTAAGATAAACTGTTAATTTTCAATAGTCTTATCCCTGTAGCCATCAGTGTGACCATATAACAAAGGAAATGATTCAACAGAAGAGCTTAAGTATGATTAATGTGTAATTATCAAAATCGTGAAAACAACCTTGTATTTAGCGTAAGTATAATGAAACACTCAATCGATTTCGAGGGCAGCTAAAGGTCCCTCCTCATCAGGAGAAAGAAATACAAGAAAGAAGAAAATAAAGGAGAAGGAGTCTCAGAAACACGTGGTCCTTATCAGTACTGCACGTGGTTATAATTGGATTTTTAATCAGAGTTGCATTGGCCGCCTACTTTTACTGAGCCAGGCTATCTGATCAAGCATAAAGGACAAGAAAAATTAGCGAAGTTTACTGATAAGGGCTACGTGTTTCTGAGACTCCTTCTCCTTTATTTTCTTCTTTCTTGGTATTTCTTTCTCCTGATGAAGAGGGACCTTTAGCTGCCCTCGAAATCGATTGTTTCATTATACTTACGCTAAATACAAGGTTGTTTTTATGATTTTGATTGTCACATTAGCGTGTTTCTCTGCTAGTCTAATGTGTAATTTTTTATATGTTACCAATTCGCTGTAAAATTGACTTATTTACATTTTATTTA